CTGCAACCCCTCCAGGCAGGGCCAGGTCACCTTTCATTTTCCCTCACCCAAACCTCAGAGCAGCTGCCCTGAGCCAGCACTGAGAGCTTTCTCCTTCCCAGGAGAAGCAGGGGTTGGGCTCTTTCTCCAGGCAGCACTGACACAACCAGAGCACACAGCCTCAAGCTGCACCAAGGGAAATTCAGGTTGGATATTAGGAAAAAGTTTTTACAGAAAGAGTGATAAAGTTCTGGAATGGCTGCCTGGGGAGGTGGTGCAGTCACCATCCCTGGATGTGTTTAAAACAAGACTGTGTTAAAAACGGAACCAGACTGCCGGTGCTAAAGTGATTTCAGCATTTATTATAATAAAAAGAAAGGCCTAAAGCAAGGGGCCTGTGGGCAGAGCAAGAGCATTCCTGTCGAGGACGCTGCAGCGCCGGTGCTGGGGCTTCTCAGCAGTGATGTTCCCGATGTCCCAGGTGGAGCAGCACAGATTCAGTGGGTCAGAAACCCCTTTTTAACCTTTTTTTTGTCCGTTTGGATAAGTTTCTTTTTGGATCCTTCATTTGCGTGACGGTTTAAGGTGCTTGACTGGCCCATGACAGTTCTGTCCAGGCTGGCTCGTTGCGCTGGGGGTGGTGCACTACTTAGGTGTGCTATGGTATGTTGAGTACCATATTTCCTATAACTACCCTTTAACCCCTTTTACAATAACTAAACTAACAGTACATGCTTAACGGTCTATCAACTATTTTACAACGGTTTCTAACCGTTTTTTAACAACTGGATGTGGCACTGGGTGCCAGGGTTTAGTCGAGGTGTTGGGGCTGGGTGGGACTCGATGATCTTGAAGGTCTCTTGTAGCCCGGTGATTCTGTGAATTCCCGGGCAGGGAGCCCGGGGGCAGTGCCAGGCTGAGCCCTCCCCGGGCGTTCCGGCAGCAGCACACCCGGGGGAGGGAGGCAGGCAGGGAGGGAGGGAGGCAGGCAGGCAGGGAGGGAGGGAGGAGGAAGCCGAGCTGAGTCAACACTGCGGAGCTCACCCGGGGGAGGGAGGCAGGCAGGCAGGGAGGGAGGGAGGAGGAAGCGGAGCTGAGTCAACACACTGCGGAGCAGCCTGCGAGAGCAGAGAGAGGCACAGCCGGGCTGGCTGACAGATCTGCTGAGCCACGGGAAAATGGTTTGAGTAATAATCAACGGTAAGGAAACCTCTGGTTTGGGGAGAGAGCTTAGAGGGGAAATACTCTGCGTGTTTCACGGGCTGGGCTGCTGGGGGGAGAGACAGGCTGGTGCTGGAGGGGTTTGGAACACAGCCAGGGCGGCAGGCAGCGAAACAAGTCTCGTTTATCCCGGTAAATCCAGTCCCTCCGGAGCTCCCTGCGCTGGGATCCCGCGAACCCCGTTCTGCGCTGGCTGGGGAGCCTGCTCTGGGGGACTGCTGGTTCCCAGTGCCACAAAGGTGTCCCCTGTCCCCCCAGCCTGCCGCTATGTGGCCAGGAAGATGAGGAGCCTGTTCAGCCGGGAGCCCCGGGAGCCACCGCCCTGCCCGGCGCGGGCAGCGCCACAAAGCCAGCAGCAGGGTGAGTGTGGGGACAGGGACATCCACGTGCCACAAAGCCAGCAGCAGGGTGAGTGTGGGGACAGGGACATCCCTGTGCCCCAAAGCCAGCAGCAGGGTAAGAGTGGGGACAGGGACATCTCTGTGCCCCAAAGTCAGCAGCAGGGTAAGGGGGACTCGTGGGAACATCCACGTGCTCCAAAACCAGCACCAAAGTGTGGGCTCAGGAGGCAGGACATCCGCATGTCCCAAAGCCACCACAAAGTGTGGGCTTTTTGGGGACAGGGACGTCTGCATGTCCCAAAGCCACCACCAGGGTAAGTATGGACTCTCTGGGGCCGGGACATCCCCTCACCTCATCCCAAACCTGCTGGGAATGGAGGGGGCTGGGCTCACCTGGGCTCAGCCAGGGGTGGGGGCACCTCCACACTGCCCGTCTGTGCTCCCAGGACCGAGCTGCAAAGGTTTCTGTTCTCCCCTGCTTTATTTCTCCTGGCTGGTTTTGGTGTTAAATGTCATTCCAACTCCTGGACATAGAGCAAATAGCAGCCTTTGGAAAAGGGCACAGATGTGCTGTGGGGTGGGATTAGGGGGACAAGAGGATGTCACCTGCTCCCACAGAGCTATGTGTCCCTGGGACACTGTAACCCAGAACCCTGCCAAACACCAAAACACAGCACCACACACCGAGCTGGCAACGAGAGATCCCTGTCCTTGCCTCCCAGTCTTCCCTCCCTGGCCCATTTAAAGCCCACATCTGAACCACAGTGGCTTCGCAGATAAAGCACAGCTCCATTTTGGCACGGTGGCTACAGCAAGGACCATCCTGGCTCCCCTCCCTGCCCCAGCCAAGGCAAGGAAAATTCTCCAGCATCACCTGACTGCATTGCTCAGGTGCCAAAGCTCCCTGTGAAAGTGAACTCAGCTTTGAGCAGCAGGCAGAGGAATCTCAGCATGGCAGGGATGTGCCCCACCCGTACTGGTTGCACTGGTTTGGCTGAGTCACTCCTGAGCAAACATTCCCAGAGCAGCAGCACATTCCTGGGCAGCTGCCACAGGGTCAGGCCATGCCTGTCACCTCTGCCTCTGCCAGGAGCTTGCAACTGTCCCTGGGGACTCCAGGGAGGGCATAGGGCTGAGCCATTCCCTTCCCACTGCCCCCATGAGCTGTGTGGGAGGGGAGGAAGGGGAATTGTGTGCACAGGGGGTCCTAAAACATGTCCAGAATTTCACCTGTCCCCTAAAGTAACAGCTGGCTCCTGACCAGGGAGGGGAAAGGGGATGTGTCCCTTCACTGATGCCTTGATTAAGGCTGTGTGAAGGAGAAGCAGAAGGAAGGAGCAGCTGCCATCCTGCAGTGGGAGCCAGGAATTTGCAGAGGCTCCGGGAAGATCAGGGAAGGTCGATGATACATCATTGGATGTATCAGGGAGAGGAATCAAACTCCTCTTTTGAGCAAAGCTGTTCAGCTCCTTTCTGCAGTTAATTGCTGGGTGTTTAAGTGCAATCAGGATAGCTGAGGTTTTCAGAGGACCTTCCCTTCCAGAATTTCCCCCTTGTTTAATCCCAAATCCCTCTCTCAAATCCCTCTCTTTTCTCCATACTTTGCATTTGCAGATGTAAAACAAGAACCACCAGCATCCCCTGAAGCACCAGCCTCACTCCCCAGCAACAGCAAACCCATCCAGAGCAGGTCCTGACGATAAAACCCTCGTGGTCCTCCCATGAAGGCCACCAGATTTCTTCCCACTAATTTTTGCTGGAAATCCCTTATCCCAGGGATTGGAAAATATCAACAAATCCCTGCTGGATCTGCTCTCAGCACAGAAGCACATTGATAGAAAATGTCCTGATCAGTGTCTCATGACAGAATTTTCCAGTTGGCAGGGGAAAAAAGAAGATTCCCAGTGTATATCAGAAGATTGCCAATGTATCAGCAGATTCCCAATGTGTATCAAATGCTCCTGATATCCATGGGCCATGGAACCAGGGGAAGAGCAGGAGCTATTGCATCCTAGCAGGGAAATAGATTTTTATACTGTGAAACCAAATTATGCTCCCAGTGATATTGGTACAAATTCAGACAAATTCAGAATCAGTTCCTGGCATGGAATGAAGGGTTCTGGAGCTCGGGCGTGTGGGAATCCCTTTCCCCATGCCCAGTGAGCCCCCAGGTGATGTGCAGCACCCCCAGAGCAGAGGCTGCAGGGATGTGCCCCCAACCCTGCCCTGTCACAGAGCAATGACAGCAGGGCCCCAAACCCCACAGGCGTGGGGGGGATCCTGCCTGACCCCTCCTGTGACAGCTCGAGCAGAAGTAAAGGTGCATGAAATCAGCTGCTTGGGAATGTGGTGGTTTTTCTTCTGGAATGAGTTTGGTGACACTGCAGTTCTTGGGATCCTGCATTGGCAGCACGGGGGGGTAAGGGGATCACATGGGGGGTCACTGATAAGGGGGTTATCTGTGTTTGGGGGGGTCACTGATAAGGGATTGATAAGGGGATCCGTTTTAGGGGGTCACTGATAAGGGGATCCTTTGTGGAGATCACTGATAAGAGGATCATGTGAAGACCTCACTGCTACAAGGATCATGTGCTAGGGGCTCACTGCTGAGGGAACAGTGTTGGGGCCTCAGGCAGGAGGAGATGGATCTGGTGTCACCATTCCTGGCGACAGAAAAAACTGGAGAAGGAGCAGAGTCATCCTGCACCCTGGAAAGAGCCAAATCGTGGTGCTCCAGGGCTCAGCCTCCTGCTGCCACCCCAAGCAAAGCTCTGGCCCTTGCTGGTACGAGGTTGTGTGAGGGGGTCATGGTTGCTTGGCAGGAGGGTTTGGGCACAAGCGAGTCCCAGGCTGTGCCTGGGTTGTTTCTGATCCCTGGGGCAGCTCCTCCCTACCAAGTTGGTGGGCAGCAGCTCTCCAAGGTGAGCAGCTTTCCTGCATCTTTTTCATTAGAGTCCTATTTCCACTCATTCATCCAGAACAAGGAATTACAGCTCCCTTCTCTGCCCCAGAGCTCCTCCACACTGGAGTGTGGGGACAGTTCTATTTTGGGGTTTTCCAGCCCGCTCTGGTCACCTGCCCCAGCTGTGATGTGTGTGCAGCACTGTGGAGACAAGAGTCTGGTCAGTGAGAAAGCCAGATAAGCTTTCCCATGAACTGGCCTGGGAAGTTTTAGGGAGGCAGAGAGAAAGAATGGTAAACAAATGGTAAACTATCTGCAGATGGTGTTTTCAACAAGTTGTTTTCCTCCTAAGATGTTTTACCAAAGAGTGTCTTCTTAATTAGCCAATCATGTGAAATGTGTTGATTAAATGACCAGTCATGTCCCCCTGTATCAGACCAGGGTATGAAAGAAGGGGCTCCAATAAAGTCAGGGCTGCTAGCCTCTCACCCTTCTGCCCTGGAGTCTGTGTCTGTTGTAACAGAACACAAAATGAACAACACACATACTGAAACTTCTAAGGTAAAAAGAAGAAAGTTTATTTCTCGAATTCAATACATACAGAATTTCAAAAGTGGATTGGAGGATGAAATTGTTACTTCTCTAACAACACTGGTTAAGCTAACATTCCATCAAATTTCTCCTTTTCTAGAGAAGAATGCAAAAACAATCATTATTTACGTAAAAGTGCACGAGAAACTCCATTACAAAAACGTAAACATCAGAAGGCTTAGAAGAACTTAGAAGAACAGGGTGACGTGTCATTCCTGACTCAGCAGCGGCACAGCACGGTGCTCTGGATGAACTGGCAGGGGCAGGGGACGCTGCTGTGGCCCAGGTGTCCCCCTGGGCTGGCCCGAGGGAGCCGGCCCGTGACCAGGAGCCGCACGTAGCACGCACTGAAGATCACCAGGAGCTGCTGGGCCATGGCCTGCAGGGAGCAAGAGAGGTGTCAGAGCAGGGCAGGCTCAGAGCAGTGAGTCACTGTGCCCCACAGTTTATTTGGTGTGGGGTCACTGAGATGAGCGATGGGCAATGACCCTGGCTCATCCCAGGCTGCCGGGACTGAGGAAGGAGGACTGGCTGCTCTCTGCTTCTCCCTTAGCTTGGAGTTTTGTCTTAGCTCAAATCTTCCTGGCTTTAAAGCAGCCACTTGTTTTACACCTGGCTTCAAACCAGCCACTTGTTTTAAACCTGGCTTCAAACAGCCACTGCTTTTAAACCTGGCTTCAAACCCAACACTGGGCTGTGTTATTTGGTCCTGGCTACCCTGAGGGCATCACCTGCCTCAGCTCTGCTCCCTGGGAGCCCATCCCAGCATCCACACGGATGGGAGGGGAGGCATGGACAGATTCCTTCCTTAACCTGCCCCTTGCAGCTGTGGTTTGTGCACTTCAGCCCCGAGCACTGCCTCCAGGCCCTGGCAGCCCACATCACTCACCTGCAGGGGACACAGGTAAGGGACACTGGGGACAGCCTGGGGCCACGGGCAGGTCTTGCCCTAAGCCCTGGATTTGCTGGGGTGGAGGTGGGCAAGGACAGATAACTGGCCCAGATGCCCTGTGGCCAGCAGTGCTGGCCCACTGTCCCCACAGGGGGTGACACCAAGTGACTGCTGGCCTTTGGGTGGCCCTGGGGACCTGCCCACTCTGTCCCTGCCTCCTCGGGCTTATTTTTGCCTGTAGACAGCCAGAGAGCCTCAGCCTGCAGGGATGTCATCTGCACTGAATTTACTTTGTGACAGTGACAGGAAAACTGCAAAATAAATCAAAATCATGCCTTTGGTAGCTCCATGCTGGGCAGGAATCAGGGCACATTTGTTGCTCAGCATGGCACAAGTCTTTGAAGGCACTTTCCATGGAGGAGACAAAGGCTGGGCTCATCCCTGGCTCAGCTCAGCCTGGGCAGGGCCATCAGGTCCCTGGGCAGAGGTGTTCTTCCAAACAGGACCCTTGGGACCAGCAAGGAAATGCCCAATCCATGAATTCCTCAAGGATTATCCCCAGCTGCTCAGCCAGCTTTGAATTCAGGTTTACAAACATGGAATTCAGGTTTTTCAGGGTTTACTCCTCCTCCTGAGAGCACCAGGGCTGGAGAAGGTCTGTGTGGACTTCCAGGTGCTTCTTCTGGAGGAAAAGGTGGTGTCCCCCATGGCTGGAATGAGTTTTGGAGCTGAGATGCCTTGGAGGTGATTTGGTGCCACTGTCAAGGGGATGTTTCTCCTCACCTGGGGTGGGCCCTCAGGGATGAGGGGCAGGAGCTCACTGCAGGTCACAGGATCTTTATTCAGGGTCTCCCCTCTGAATAAAAGAGGGGATTCTTCACATGGAGCTTCCTCTTCCATCCCTAGCTCAGGCTGAGCTGCCACATCCATGACCACCCAGAGCTTGTTCAGCCTGTGCCTCAAGTCTGCCTGGAAGAAAAGGAGATTTTGGGGCTCTCCAAAGGCAGGCAGCAGTGGTGTCCTGTGGAGAGCCTTTACAGGGCACCATTTATCCTTGCATAGTTTTTATTCCTGGGGTTTCCCACCCCAGGCAGCAGTGGTGTCCTGTGGAGAAACTTTACAGGGCACCATTTCCTCCTGCATGGATTTATTCCTGGGATTTCCCACCCCAGGCAGCAGTGGTGTCTTGAGGACAGAGTTTAAAAGGTACAATTTTCTCCAGCACATTTTTCACTCCTGGGATTTCCCATGCCAAGAGCCATGCCCAGCACTTGGAGGTGGGTGTCCATGCCATGGCCTGGCTGCCCTCAGCTGCCAGTGGCTGCTCCCAGCACCACAAGCACAGCCTGGCATGAAGAATCCTGTCTTTAAAAACAGTTCTCTCATCCCCTGTGTGAATCCAGGAACTGCTATGCTTCCCTGAGCTGCAGCTTTCAGGGAGATGAGCAACCTGGAGATTTCAGAGGGTTCTCACCTCTCATCCCACAGAGGCAGTTCAGTGGATATTTACACACCCACAGAGAGCAAAACATTTTCTGAAGGCCAAGAGGACAAAATTTTTACATAATTAACTCAATGCAGCAATTCCTGCTCCTCCAGGCTATCCCACTTTTTCCAGGAGGACAGCTCAAGGTGGCAGCTGCTTCAAGGTGTGCCACATGCTTCCAAAATTTGCCTTTCATTCCTGATGACTTTCCATCATTAAAGCTGCACAGTTAATTATCCAGACACGCACATTCCATGGAGTGTGGACAAATTCCTGTTGAACTGGGCAGGGACAGTGCACTTTATTCACCTCCCAGTCTGCCCAGTGCACAGCAGGGCACTCAAACACTCATTTGTCCTTGCCCACCTCCATCCCAGCAAATCCAGGGCTTAGGGCAGGACCTGCCCGTGGCCCCAGGCTGTCCCCAGTGTCCCTTACCTGTGTCCCCTGCAGGTGAGTGATGTGGGCTGCCAGGGCCTGGAGGCAGTGCTCGGGGCTGAAGTGCACAAACCACAGCTGCAAGGGGCAGGTTAAGGAAGGAATCTGTCCATGCCTCCCCTCCCATCCATGTGGATGCTGGGATGGGCTCCCAGGGAGCAGAGCTGAGGCAGGTGATGCCCTCAGGGTGCTCAGGGCAGCCAGGACCAAATAACACAGCCCAGTGTTGGGTTTGAAGCCAGGTTTAAAGGCAGTGGCTGCTTTGATGCCAGGAAGATTTGAGCTAAGAAAAAACCCCAAGCTAAGGGAGAAGCAGAGAGCAGCCAGTCCTCCTCCCCCAGTCCCAGCAGCCTGGGATGAGCCAGGGTCATGGCCCATCGCTCATCTCAGTGACCCCACACCAAATAAACTGTGGGGCACAGTGACTCAGCTGCCCTAAACCCCTTCCTGCTGTCTCATCTTTGTTTCTAGGGATTGACTCCATTGTTTTTTACAAAACTGGCCATTCTCAGTGCTGCTCTGAGGACACTGTTGAGAAGAGTTTTCCAAGAGCAGCGTGTTGGGGATGTGAGTCCTGCCAGCTGAGGCAGGCAGAGCTCTGTCCTTGTGCATCTGCTGCTCCAGCCAGCAGCACAGGGATGCAGGAAAAATGTAAAATCTACAGGGTTAAAATGGATCTGACATTGGAGCAGACAGAGCCATTGTAAATCTCTGGGTTATCTGCTGCTCTCAGGAGTTTTGGGACAGGTAGGTCAAGGTGAAGGCTCCCTGAATTAGTCCTCTAATGGACTATGCTGGCCCAAAATGTGGAATTCAGGTTTTTCAGGTTTTTCTCCTCCTCCTGAATGACTTTGTCCCCCTGCAGTGTTCCCTGTCCCCTTTCCTCCTTCAGCCTGGCTTTTTTCTCCATTTGTATTTCAAGCCTCTCTCTGTGTCTCTCTCACCTTCCTTTAACACCTTCATGGAGCTTTAAAACTCTCTCCATTCCCTTAAATCCCTGTCTAGTACAGAAAAATCATCTCTGAAAAGCAGCAAATGAGCCCAAGGATGGGGATTTTGTTTTTCTCCATGTTAAAGTTTTTGGGGGACTGTTTGGTTTTCTCCCTCTTGTTTTTTTTAGCAGTTTTTGTTTGGTTTGTTTTTATTTTTTGCCATAGGAACTTTGCTATCCCTCTGCCTATAGGCAGAATCATCAGTGTCACATAATTACAACACATTTTTAAGAATAATTGTCTGCCCTAATGAATCCCACTTCAATCCTTTAGACTCATTTTTTGCAATCACCTTTGGGCATATCTCAATCCCCACTTACAGGAGAAATAAAAACGTCCTAATTCCTTATACCATCCCATAGGAGACAAAGCAGATCCTAGGAATGCCATCCTCTGGATCACAGCATCAGTAATAATTGATGTTGTGATAAACTGATAAAGTTAATTGATGTAATTGATAAATGCCTCCAGCAGGAGGCATTTATCTATCCAGGAGGGATCTGACCAATTGCCACCAAGGATACTTGTAGGATGCTGTGTGGCCCGTCCAGGACATCTGTAATCCCCAGGATTATGCTGTGTTTGATAAAGATTTCATTGACAGCTGCCAACCTCACATCTGTGTTCACGTTTAGCTGTTAAAGAATGCAAGGAAAAATAACACAATCCACAGCAAAAGTCTACAAACTGCAGCTGGATAATCCCAAATACTGCAGCTCTGAAAGGAAAACAGTTGGATTGATTTCCAGTGTCATGTTCTCCCTTCTGACCCCCAGCAAACTGCTTTCCTGAACCCCTGTGAACCCCCAGATTTATCTGGTTTCTTCTTGGAAGAGTCATTTGCCTCAAATCCCCCTCTGGATTTTGAGTCAAGACTTTCCAATATTATTCTTCAGCCAAAGAGATGGTGCCAGTGATGCCAGAGGCAGCAGGGAATGCAAGGACAAATCATCAGGAGCAGGGCAGGAGCCAGAGCTGCTGTGGGAGCACAGTCCACACTCTGCAAGGCTGGTCTGCAGGGTGACCCTGTGTGGCCTCTCCGTGCTCAAAGAAGCTTCAAGAGAGCTGGAGAGGGACTGGGAACAAGGACATGGAATGACAGGACACAGGGAATGGCTCCCACTGCCAGAGGGCAGGGATGGATGGGATATTGGGAATGAGGAATTGTTCCCTGGGCTCTGGCTCAAAATGCAGCCCAGAGCAGTAATGGGGGTTACATGTGGGGGATACTCTGTGTCACAGCAGAGGGGTGGGCAGGCCCTGGCACAGGGTGCCCAGAGCAGCTGTGGCTGCCCCTGGATCCCTGGCAGTGCCCAAGGCCAGGCTGGACAGGGCTGGGAGCAGCCTGGGACAGTGGGAGGTGTCCCTGCCATGGCAGGGGTGGGATGGGAAGATCTTTAAGGTTCCTTTTAACCCAAACCAGCCTGGGATTCTCTAATCCTCTGATCTCCAGCAGCAGGAGGTCTGAGCCAGCCTGAGCAGCTCCAACACTTCCCTTTCAAGCATTCCATCCCCTCCCTTGGCTGCAGAACATCTCTTGCCTTCCCTGAGTACTGTAAAATTATTCCCTCCTCCCTGGATCATTGTATTCTTTGCCTGCAGCCAGGGAATGCCCCAGCAGGAGGAATCCTGCTCCCCTCTCTCCACATTCCCACACCAGGAGCCTCCTCTCACCTTCCTCTGGTGCCCATCAATGACCAGGATCACCAGGACAGTGAGAGCCAGGGCCACCAGTGTCACCAGCACACCAGCCCCCCAGGAGTGGCCCAGAGAACTCAGCTGGAGGGTGGAGTAAAGGTTTGTCCAGAGAGAGATGTAGAAAACCTGGGGGAAAATAGAAAGACTGGTGAGAGTTACAAACCCATGAAAATGAGAAAAGTCACAGGAAGAAGGAAATAACAGTCTCTGCTCCCTTATAAATTAGGTCCCATGAGATTTTTCACAGGGTGAGAAAGGACAAAACTTCTTTCCAATAATAAATAAAGGAACGAAAGGATTGGAAGGACTAAGTGAGCCCTAGTTTATTTTAAAAAATCACCACTCACCAAAGACAAAGAGTGAATTATTAATGATGATTCATCCCTAGGAAGGATTTCAACAGAGTTCTTCCATTTAGATGAGGAATGCACTCACTGAGGCATATTGATAATAATTCTCAGAGTCCCTGGATTTAGAAAGTTCCTATTTCAAGGTGGTGCAGAGACCACTCCATTACAGTAATGCTCAACCAGTGAGCACTGATGCAGGTTTAAAGGGTTGTGTTAAAGACGGGAAACTGGATTCCTTCACCTCACAGAGCATGGATTTGGGCAGGAGATTGCCTAGGAGCAGGTGTGACATGTAGGGCACAGCATCATCTCATCATGACAAAACTCAGGTGCACTAAACAGGCACCAAACCCCTCAAAACACTGAGCACCAATTCCTACAGGAGAAAATTTGTATAATGGCTATCCAAACAAAAAAAAAAAGTAATCAAAACAAAGATTTGGGGTTGATCACACCTTCGGCACACTGCAAAGCACCAGCCTCACAGCAGATGCTCATGGTTGGGTCTCTGGAGAACTTTCTTTCACCAGAAGACAAACAAGACCAAAAGTTGACTGATTTGTTTGTGTAATTAGCATCAGGACCAGAATGCCTTCATATCTTTAAAATCAAGATCTAAACCAAGCCTGTGGTAGGTGCTGTCACCTCAGGATCTGCTGGTCACCCATGGACAGCCTGCTTTATTGGGACTGCCAGCAATGGGGTGGAGAGAGGGCCCTGCCCTCCATCTGCAGCAGTTCTGTGAGCTGGAATTGCCAAGAGAACCCACCAGGAACATGTTAGAACCAGGATTTGCTGCCCAGCCCAACCCCACTCCCTCCCTGGGGACAAGAACCCCGGTGCCAGGCTGGGCAGCCCTCACCACAGCCATGGCAATCTGGAAGCCCCTGGAGCTGTAGAACAGGTACCGCCTCACTTCGGGCCTCAGGACTCCCTCCTGGATCAGCCTTCTCCACAGATCCATCGGCACCTGCCCGGGAGCAAACACAAAACCACAGCCACCCTCAGTTTGGGCTCCAGCTCCCAGCAGAACCAGCTGGACAAACCTCGTTAGTGCTGTGGCTCAATGAAGAAGGACTTAGTGTAAGAGCCTGAGATGAGAGATGTGGGGCTCCAGGTGGCTCTTCAAAATACTGTTTATTTTATACAAAATGCTGTTTATTGTATATTACAGCTCTTCAAAATGCTGTTTATTGTATAGAAGATGTTCCAGCAGCCATGGGTCGTGGGTGACAGAGCCACATCTAAAGCTGCCAGCTACAGGTAGAGGCAAGCCTGAAGCCCCTTTAGTTCTGGTTACAATGCATTATATATTTTTCTTTGCTGAATACCTTAATACATAACAACCAGTCAGCACCATACACAACACCTTTACTATTGCCTATAGCCTATCATAACTATCATTACCATGTTATGGTCAATACTGTCCAACCACATGAGTTAGTATGGTACAGTTTGAGCTTAAAGTTGTTTTTCAGTTTTCTTTCAGTGGAAAATTGTTAGACCTTTTTTCTGTGGCAGCAGCTCTCTGGCCACAGAGATAAACACAACTGTCCCAGACTTTCTGGGAAAGGCTGTGAGGAGATCAGAGAAAAGAATGAGAAACAATTCTTATCTTAACCTGCTGCACCTGTTGTTGTGCACATGTAGAATGTGTTTTGGAGATTTCTTTATCAAAGGGTGGTTTCTTAATTGGCCAACGGTGATGGTGTTTGGACTGGAAGGCCAATTAGGTCCAGGTGTATCGTAACTGTCTATAAAAGCAATGGGGGTTTCTTGGTAATGATATATATAATAAAGGGATTGATCAGCCTTCTGTGTATCATGGAGTCAGTGCTAATTATTACCCAGCTGGGGGCCTCTGTAACAACATTTTTCTACTTGCCACATCAGCATGTCTGTTTGCCTGTGGTATCTTCTGCTTTTCCTAAGACCTATTTCTACTTGGTAAAAACATATTTTTTGTTTGTGGTCAACATATCCTTTGCTCTAAGTCATAAAATCTCTTTTCAACTGACTTAATCTTTGCTTTTTCAGTTGTCCACTAAGACTGGCTCAGCCATTCTTAATTTAAACATCTCTTATTCTTCTATATCAAAACTTGCTCCCATCTCTATTCTGCTCTCAGGTTCTGCACTCAGAGATCTTTCTGCCAAGCACACATAGCTGTGAGACTTTCTTGTTAAACTTTCATCCTTCCCAACAATGTAGGACGTTTTATGGCGCAAAAAGAAAGGATCCATCCTGGTTTATTTTGTGCATCTCCTTTTACAAGGTTTTTAAGAACATCCCGTCTATCCCCAATTGGTCAGTAACAAGTTGTCATTCTGTATTAATTGGTCACTCAAAGCCCAGTGTGTACGTGCAGAAAAAGTTCTTTGTGAGACATGGTTTTCATTTTTCTATCTCACAGTGTAAAGACAATTTATACAGGTGGCTAATGTTTATCACAGCCCTAGAGCTCTTTCTCAGGGAAAGCAGGTTGTTTTCCACAGTCCTAGAGCTCTTTCTCAGGAAAAACAAGTTATTTTCCACTGCTGCAGGACTCTGTTCTCACAAAGAGCCGTCAGTTTTCTCATGGGTTGTTGTCTCAAGTCAGGATTTGCTTTGTAGGCCTTTGGCCTGCTGTTTCACTGTGAGAAATGAATTTGTAGACAATTTCTAAAGTGTATAAATTTTGTGTGTAAATTTTCTACAAATTCATTTCTCACATTTCACTACCACTCCTTGTGTGCCACTGCAACCCAAATGTGTGTCCCAGAGCTGCCTCCCACAGGGAGCACCTCCAATCCCACCCACAGAGCTGCCACAGACCCAAAATTTGTGTTCCTGCTCAGCTGCAGTGAGTAAAACCTTCCTGGGAAGGGCAGGGACAGTCACAAGGGAAGGAAACCCCTTTTTGTGATGAAGGACAAGACAAGGCAGATGTCCCAGGGATGCCCTGCCCTATCAGAGTGAATTTTAAGAAAAAATGCACTCCAGACTACCTTCAAAGAGCTTCTTCACAGAGGTTTAAGACAAGTTCATCCCAGCTGACTTCCAGCCCATGGGGAATAGACTGAAGTTGGACTGAAACAAGCGACTCTCAAACCAAAAAACCCAAAGCCATCTGGGCTGTGGGTGTAAATGCAAATTATGCAAATCCAGCTGGAATTAACTCCCAGAGGAGCTCACCTGGATGCCGAGGGACTGCAGTTTGTCAGCACAAAGGTCCATGTCGAAGGAGGAGCTGGGGCAGGTGTTGTCCATGCTGAGCACCAGCAGCACCCGGCCTTGTGGGGGTTCTGCAAGAGCCCAAAAGAGCCGTGAGCACAGCTCTGGGGGGTTTATCCCACAGCCAGGCAGCACCTGGCAAAGGGGAGGCTGAGAACGCAAACCACCCTGGTGTGATTTAAACTGATCCAGAATCCCCTCCTTGGCCATTGCTAAGGAGCTCTGCAAGCAGCCTGAGACCCCCTGAAGGAAATAGACTGCAGAAAGTGAGGAAACCCCCAAAACATCCCAGGAGTGAGCAGCCAGAGATAAGAGGAGATAACAGGATGCTGTGATCTGCAGCACAACCATGTCCTGCCTCAGCAACCCCTGACTGGAAGTGTGGAGGTGAAACTGCAGGCCAAAGGCCTACAAACTGAATCCTGACTCAAACAACTTGTTTTCCACAGTCTTAGAGCTCTTTCTCAGGGTAAAGAAGTTATTTTGTGAGCTGGGATTGCCAAGAGAACCCACCAGGAATGTGTTAGAACCAGGATGTGGTGCCTAGCCCAACCCTGCTCCCTCCCGGGGCACAAGAACCTGGTGTCAGGCTGGGCAGCCTGCAGTGCCCTCACCACAGCCATGGCAATCTGGAAACCCCTGGAGCTGTAGAAAGCCCAGTTTTGGCTCTCTCATGGCTTCTGTTGGCTCAAGTCAGGATTTGGTCTGTAGGCATTTGGCCTGCTGTTTCACCACCACAAACAGGCTCAGGCTGCTCGGTGGTGCCAAGGCACACTGCCCTCTTGGAGACCCCTCCCCATTGCCCACCCACCATAAAAACCAACTTGAGCAATGAATTCAAGTGCTTTCCAGCAATCCTATTGCTTGGGAATGTGGCAGGGCTGCCCTGGAGCAGCCCCAGACCCTCCTGCAGCATGGCTCTGCTCAAGGCTCTTCAGTGTCAGCTCGGGGCAGGATCACAGATGCATCCTAGAGACTCCAGTCAGGAGCCTAAAGAGTGTGAGGACAGCCTGTCCTAGATTCGAGCAGCACGGGAGAGCTGTGATCTCCAGGCAGCCCATCTGGCACCCACCTAGAGCTTACACAAGCTGTGCTACAGAGAGAGGAAGGGTTTGGGCCTAAGGAAGTGGCTGGTTCAGCTGAGATCCTGCTTCACTGAAAGGTTTCACACAAATTTCCTTCCTCTTTGCAGCTCCAGAGTCAGCCAGGTGTCCCTGGGCTGCTCCTGGGGACATTTAGAGCAAAAATGGGGCTGGAGGGTGCAAGGGGTATGAGTGACCAGCCATCCATGGCTCTGCCAGAGGGCTCCAAACCCTGTCCAGCCTGGCCTTGGGCACTGCCAGGGATCCAGGGGCAGCCACAGCTGCTCTGGGCACCCTGTGCCAGGGCCTCTGAGCCCTCACAGGGGAGAATTTCTTCCTAATCTCCAATCTAAACCCACTGTCTTTCAGTTTGAAGCCGTTCCCTGTGTCCTGGCACTCCAGGCCCTTGGACAGTCTCTCTCCATCTTTCCTGTGGCCCCTTCAGGCTCTGCAAGGCCACACTGAGGTCCCCCAAAAGCTTCTCCTCTCCAGGTGAACAGTCCCAGCTGTGCCAGTCTCTCCTCCCAGCAGAGCTGCTCCATCCTCTGATCCCCTGGTGCCTCCTCTGGATCTCTGCAGCAGCTCCAGCTCCTCCCTGTGCTGGGCCAGGGCTGGGGCAGCTCTGCAGGTGGGGTCTCACCTCAGCCCAGGGCACAGGGGCACAATCCCCCTGCCCTGCTGCCCCCAGCACAGGTCAAATTTCCCAAAGACTTCTTAGCTTCAAAGGCCAAGAGGAGAGGCCTTGCAGGGGGCTGCTTCGTTCATTCCTGCATATCAGGCATTTAATAAAAACCCCAAAGTATCTCCATCCCCTTCCCAAAATGCTGAAACATCCACAGTGTTTTGGTACTTTCACAAGTGAGATGCTGTTAAAGAGCATCTTTGGTAAAATCTGTCAGTGGTTATTTTAAGGACACTGAGCTCAGATCTGCCTCTCCTCTTAGCAATGAGCTGCTCCCTTACCTGTCACCCACTGCAGGGCTCCTTCCTTGAAATCACTCTTGCTGTACAGGAGGGAGGACCCATTTTTCTCAGTTCCACCAGTCTGGCTTTTCTGGGCCATGCTGAAGGTGTGTCTCCTTGAAGGATTCTGTGTTTTCTGGTCAGAAATTCAGCATTTCTCTCTCTAATTCAGCATTTTCCTCTCTTCCTGCTGGGAAGCACCAACCAGCCCCACAGCAGCTGAGTGGGGAGCAGATTGTGAAACCCTCACTCCCACTGCTGCCTTCCTGGGCATCCTGCTTCCCATGAGCCACAAGGCATTTTTTAGCCCTGAAAAAAGAAGAACATCCCAAATCTTGCAGAAACAGCAAATAAAGGATAACAGCAGTGACTGCACCTGGTGTTGGCCAGTGTGAGCTCAGTCCACACAGACTCACTTTTTACGTTTGGTTTTTGTTGAGAGGTGGAAAAGCTATCCTTAAATATTCCTTAAATTATCCTGACATCCATCAGCATTCACATTTTGCAAGCACTTAGCAAGGAACAGTCAGGGTTTCTCTTTGCCAAGCCTCTTTGCCATCACCTTCAGAAGAACCTGGAGATGGTGGTCTGGTCAGAAATTCAGCATTTCTCTCTCTAATTCAGCATTTTCCTCTCTTCCTGCTGGGAAGCACCAACCAGCCCCACAGCAGCTGAGTGGGGAGCAGATTGTGAAACCCTCATTCCCACTGCTGCCTTCCTGGGCATCCTGCTTCCCATGAGCCACGAAGCATTTTCTAGCCCTGAAAAAAGAAGAAGAACATCCCAAATATTGCAGAGACAGCAAATAAAGGATAACAGCAGTGACTGCACCTGGTGTTGGCCAGTGTGAGCTCAGTCCACACAGACTCACTTTTTACGTTTGGTTTTTGTTGAGAGGTGGAAAAGCTATCCTTAAATATTCCTTAAATTATCCTGACATCCATCAGCATTCACATTTTGCAAGCACTTAGCAAGGAACAGTCAGGGTTTCTCTTTGCCAAGCCTCTTTGCCATCACCTTCAGAAGAACCTGGAGATGGTGGAAATGCCTCTCCCTGGAAGTGACACGGGGACAGATCCTCACCACAGGATGGGAGAAGTGCAGATGAGGCAGAAAAATGCATCTGCTGAAGGCAGAGTCAAGCAGGAGCTCCCACCCAGCAGCAATGAAGCCTTTGAGGCTCTGCTTTCCCTTCCTTTCTCTTCTGCTTTCCCTTCCCCTCTCCTCTCTTTTCCTTTTCCCTCTCCTCAGTTTTTTTGGTCCCTCATCTCTGCTTTCCCTTTAATATTTTTTCCTTTTCCTCGCCTCTCTTTTCCTTCTTCCTCTCCTCTACTTTCCTTTCGTCTCCCCTTTCCTCAGGGAAGTTCTCCCAGCAGGCACAGTGCCCAAGGTTTTCCATGTGTTTTTTTCCTGCTGGCACAGCTCTCTAACCTCCTGCCAGCACTTGTGGGTGGCTGTTAAATGCTTGGTAAACTCTCGAGTTTACTTTTCAATTACCTTCCACTCCAGCTCTCCAAAACCACTGCTTACTTTTTAACCTCTGCTCAGACCAGGAGCCTGTTGCTGTCTCCTGGTGGGAGGATCCCTCACAGATCTCACCCGCGCTCCTTCCAAAGGGGATTGTTTTGTTTCTGACTTTTTTTCTGGTTTTTTTCTGACTGTTGTCGGCTGTATTTACCTCCTTGCACAAAGCCAGGACAGTCCCTGGTTGAAGGAAATGGAGGCAAGAGAAACAACATGAAAAATTTTCCCCTGATCACAGGGGGAAAAAACCCAAAAGGGCTGAAAACTCCCTTAAAAAGCTGAAACTTAAAGGATTCCTGAAAACTTAAAGGATCAAAGCAGGAAGTGTGTGCACACAGGATGGGCACAGCACCTGCTCTTCACCTGCACAGGTGAGGAGAGGTTCCCCTGGGCACAGCTCTGCCATGAGGATCATGGGCACCATATGTTACAGGGCACATCCCAGCACCAAAAGGTGCATTCAGATGGGTTTTTTCACTGCTTTCCTTCTTTTGCCATCCAATGGAAGTGAATGTAAAATCAAGACAGAAAAGCCCATAGCAGACAGAAGCAAAGAGTGAAAAAACAGAGGAAACTAAAGAAAAATATATGAAAACTAATTAAAAACTGAAGAAAAACCTGATTAAAACCAACCACCCTGTTGCTGCTGCTGGCACATCCATTTGGACACAAATCAAGGCTCTCTGGCTCTGAGGATGAGAATCTGGGGCCTCTGGAGGACAGTCCCCAGGAGGTGACAGTGCAGGTGCAGCAGCCCAGCCATCCCCAGGAGGGAAACAGCCTTCCCCAAACACTGGGAGCTCCTCAGCCAAAGCAGCTTTGCTTTTGCTTCTCAGTGCAGCACAGTTTGGCTCTGTTGCCTTTCCCTGCAGAATTGCCCATGTGGGGATTTGGGTCCCCCCAAACCTCCCTCTGATCCCTCCTGAGGCACCTCAAGGAGCAGCCTCTCCTCTCCTGCACTCCCAGGCTCTGCATTCTCTAAATTTCTTCTTTTTCTTTATGCAATGCCAACAGCCCTCTGGTCAATTCACTTCCTTCTTTTTTGGACACCTCCAAGCCCTCACTAAACAGCAGAGAAACACCCAGCAGGTCCTTCTGCCTCGTTCCCAGAGCAGCCAGCAGAGCCTTACCTGCTCCAGCTCACTCCTGGTGCTGGGAATGCAGCTCAGCCTCCTCCTCCTGCTGCTGCCTGTCCCACTCTGCACTGCACAGGTGCCACACTGTGCCACCTCCAAGCAGGAAGGTGCCAGCCTGTGCTGGATGAGGTCCCTGTGTCCCCTGGGAGCAGGGATTACCCAGGTCTGTGCCCCTGCCTCCCCCTCCTCACCCTGAGCTGCACGCAGGGACTTGCAAAATCTCCCTGGTGCATGTGACTCTCCCCTGGGCTGTTCAGAAATGAGGGTTTAACCCTCTGTAGTTCCTCAGAAGTGTTCCCACGCCCAAGGCACAGCCACAGGGGGAGATTCTCCTCCTCACCTGCAGCAGGGTGGGGGTCCAGAGCTGGAGCTGGAGCCTGAGGAGTGTGAAGAGCTGAAGAGTGGCACAGACAGGAGGCTCTCCTCTTCCTTCTCCTCCTCCTCCTCTAGGATCAGCCAGGCAGGATTCAGGAACTACAAATCCCACAGTTACACCACATCAGTTCCTGTAAGTGTTTCAAGACAGGGCTGGAGACATCAGAAGAGGAAAACACATATCTCAAGGCTGACAAGAGGTCACTGTTCATCAAAGGGTCATGGAAAGCAGTGAAGAACAGGGAGGGCAGGAGTTGTAGCCCTCCCCAAACCAGGCTGTGCTGATGTGGAGCAAGTTTCCCCTCTAGCAGCTCCAGAAGAAAAGCAGGAGGCTCAGGCACAGTCAGATGGATCCTCCAGAGTGCTGCACATGTTGGAGTTGTTTGCCTGACAATGCTGAGACACCATGAAAACCAAATTCCTTAGCCTGGGAATTGTGGTGTCAGAGCTGCCCAAAAGCTGCAGGATCCATGGAGGGTTGGAACAAAGCTAATCCAGGGGTAGATGGTTGAAAGAAAAGGAACAATCAGCTCTTGCAGTGTCTGTGTGCACTTCCTGGAGCAAAGGCTGCTCTTCTGGAGGGATGAGTTCTGCAACCCTGCCTCTCCAGAGCTGTGAGTTCATCCCATCACGTGGCTCCACAGGCAACAGGAGCAACTCCAAAGCCACTCACCCTCATGGGATCCTGTTACACTGGAACCAGCAACACCATCCAGGCACTGGGAAAAATCCCATAAATCTGTCACCAGCTCAAGGCCCAGCTCCAATCCCCACCCAAGACAGGGCCATGGGAAGCTTTGAGTTCTTTTGCAAACGCTCATCAAAAGTTTTGGCTTGGTTTGCTCCTCACCCACACAGAGATGCTGACAGGGAACACGAGAAGCCAAGAGCACTGCCAGCTCTCCACAGGAAAAAGCTCCAGGCAAATCCCTGTGGGACAATAACTTGAAAGTTAACAATAACTTGAAAGCAGTGTGGATAATGAGCTGCAGCACGGTCCCTGTGCCCCTCTTGCTCAGCAAGACACAAAAGGTCTTGGCATCAGCACCTCCAGCAGCAAACCCCTGCTCATTTGAGAGGAGTGTTGGGATCACCAGAGGCTGGACTGCCAGGATGGTTTGGGTTGGAAGAACCTTAAATCCCATCTGAGTCCACCCTTCCACCACCCAGACTGCTCCAAGCCCTGTCCAGCCTGGCCTTACCCTCCCCTTACCACAGCATCTGCTGCCTCTGGGGAGTCCCCCCACCCCATTTTCCCAAATTCCTGCAGTGCTGTGCAGCTGCTCATGGATTGCTCCGAGCTGATGTATTTGATTTCACCTTTCTCAGCTACTCCTCCCTGCAGGGAGGCTCAGGCTATTGGTTTCAGATCATTTCTCCCACTTATCAAGATCATTTGGAATTGTGATTCAGTGCTCTGTACTGTTTGTATCTCTTCCCAGCTTGGTGCCCTGGACTTACATTGTACTCCCTGTTCCACCTGCTGCATTAATGAATATATTACAGGGAAACTGATTGCAGGGAAATGAAAAAATCTGCTTTTTCAAGATAGAAATTTGAGGACTGTCCCAGGCTGACAGTGCCCACCCACCCCTGCCAGCCCCAGAAATAACCTCACCCTTCATCACACCCTAAATGTCATTTCTGAGGTCACTCTTCAGCACCTATTTGAAGTCTCACTGCTTTAAATAACCAGATACACACATTTAGTGTGCTTTTGCCTATTCTCACCATGTTCTCTCAGTATTTACTCCATGCTTTGATAAACTGAGCTCCTTTGCAGTATTTGGAATCCACACCCCTGTGATTCCAGCTTTTTTGACCACAATCTGCATGTGGTTGCAGTTTCTCCCCACGTCAGCCTTGTTTGGACTGTGCACTGCAGCCAGCACTGACACATCTCATTTTCTTTTGATGAAACTGCATTTTCAGGGGAGAACTGTGCCATCTCTTTCCTTTTTTTTCTCCTAGTGAGCCTTAATTAGGAGAACAAAGTTGTTGAAAGCCTTGTCTTGCCCTTTTCCCCCTTTCTGCACACAAAGTCCTTTCACTTTGCGTTGTTGGATTTTTTTGTCAGCAAAGCTGACAGATTGACAGTCATTAAATATAAAAATTTATTTCACACTACCCATAAATTACAAGTTTCAAATGAAGAATGACATTTGCTTAAGGCACTGAGTGTGGTTCTTATCTTTTTTTTCCTACTTCTGCCTTTTTCTTATGAAGACTTAAAGTATTATTCTTTTTACTATGGTAATGCAAAAACGTCTTTTCTTGAATCTCAAATTAAAAGAGGCAAAGCTCGCTATGTGCCTGGGATAATGATTCAGCTATTGATCCAGAAGATGCTTTATTAGATTATTTTGAGGCAGACGAAAGTAATTTAATACCAATTTATTTTCTATTCCTATGCTAGTCCAAGATACAATCTTTTCTGCATGAAATTAGCACTTTCTCCTTTCAACCTCAAAGAAACATTACGCTGTGCTCCTTCCTTGGATTAGTTTGGGAAAACTTTTTCAGCAGAACATTGATCTAGAGGGTTCTCAATTGTATTTTCTTTAAGACTTTAAAGCCAAGACCTCAGCTGGGATCAGCAGGTTCTTGCCTTTTCTCTACCATTATGCATTAATGCAAAAACTAGTGAAGAGAGACAAAGGGGAAAGAGATTCCAGGTGAGGAAAACAGAGGCAAAGAAGGAAATCGGAGCAGGTTTAATGCAGGCAGAGAGAAGGGAGAGGAGCTGCATTATGTTTACACAGTCATCTGTCACCTCCAGGGGACACTGCAGGGTAGTTCTGCCCCACAGCAGCAGGACAGCACCTGGGATACCCCATCCTGCTGCTCACACCTCCCACGAGCTGCCCCAGGGGCCAGGAACTGCTGCATTTTCTCTAGGGTTACCAAATTCTGCCTGCTCCGGGGTCAGCTGGGCTCCAGGGTGGGAGAAAACAGCAGGAGCCCAAAGCTGGGGATGGCAGGAAAGGGATAGAGGGACTGTCAGCAGCTCACTGGGTTGGATCTGCCTTTAAAACAGCTCCACATTTAATAAAGGTCATCAGGACCTGTGCACTGACCTCACAAAAGCAGGAAAATTAGGAATTTAAGGTTGCCAAATGTGGATTTGCCCCTGGAACACCCTGAATTCCCTGGTGTTGCCATCCAGCACAGCCTGGCAGCTCTAGGCAGAGAGGGGAAGGGCTCCTGGACCTCCCGCAGCAGGAAAATGTCCCCACCTGCTTCTGAAAGTGCCCAAATCCAGCTGCCAGGGGAGCCCCTGCTAAAGCACTGCCAGCCAGAACTGCTGTCCCCCTAAGGAGAGCTCTCTGGACTCCAGATCTGGAGTTAGAGGTGATTTCCTTCCTTTCTTTCATAGGAACACAAGATCACAGAATATCCTGAGCTGGAAGGGACTGAAGGGATCACCCAGCCCAGCCCCTGTCCCTGCCCAGACCCCCCAGCAACCCCACCCTGGGCATCCCTGGCAGCGCTGGCCAAAGGCTCCTGGAGCTCTGGCAGCCTCGGGGCCGTGCCCATTCCCTGGGGAGCCTGGGCAGTGCCAGCACCCTCTGGGGGAAGAGCCTTGCCCTGATCTCAGCCTGAGCTGCCCTGGCCCAGCCCCAGCCGTGCCCTGGCTCCTGTCCCTGTCCCAGAGCAGGGATGGGAGCTGCCCCTCGGGAGGAGCTGCAGCCCCGGGGAGCTCTGCCCTCACTCTGCTCAGCTGAACAATCCCAGAGCCCTCAGCTGCTCCTCACGGCCCCTCCAGCCCCTTCCCCATCCCTGTGTCCCTCCTTTGGACACTCTCTCACACTGTAGTGCCCCAAGTGCCCCCAGGAGCAGGAGCCAGGTGGTATTTCCAGGGATGGGAGCCCAAAACAAGGGAACCTCACAGTGATGTGTGGGCCCAAAGCAGCTTCTGCTCTTTCTGTGGTACATGAGCAGGCTGTGGCTCAGTCCTGAGGGATTGTCACAGACCCCCAGCATGGTTTGGGTTAGAAGGAACCTCCAGAGATCAAACTCCCTTCTCTCTGCCCACAGGGACTCCTCCCACTATCCCAGGCTGCTCCAAGATCCATCAGTCCAGCCTTGGACACTTGCAGGGGTGGAGCAGCCATGACTTCTCTGGGTAGAGGAGCAGCAGGAAAAATTCAGATGCAGATTTTTCTAGCAGCTGCTGTGGGCTTCACTCCTACTCCTCAAACTTCCTGTAAAATGCCCCAAAAATCAGATTTCAGGAGTAAGAAGCAGTGTCCCACTCCATACCTGTCAGGACTGTTCCCTGAAGAGCATTTCCCTGGCACAGCCTGGCTTAGGCACACAGGGCTGCCTTTCCCAGAGCATCACAGGGCAAGATGAAAGAACCTCAACTGGAAATAAAATATCTGCTCTGCACAAACCAAGCCAGCCTTCCTGGAGAGCAGTAATTGGAAATGCTTCCTTCAGTGCAAAGTTGGAGTCATTCTCAACAGTTAAGTTTCAGGGAAGTATTACAGAAAATTATTATTCTTGCAACACATTAACACTTCTGCATGTTCTAAAGGGAGCTTCTTCACAGCACATTTGCCAAGGAGAAATAATCATGGATAATTTTTTTCCACTTTTTCTCCTGCTTCTGTTCTGAAGAAGGATAAAAGTCCTCATTAACCAAGGGAAACTTATGAACCAATATGAGAAAGTGGAGCACACACTTCATTTTTTCTGGACAGAGTCTCAGTCACTGATAAGAGAGGGAATGAAATTGCTAATTACAGCCTGGAGCTAGGAGGGCTTTGAGGAGTGTCCTGCTGGAGCCTGAGCACCTGCTCTCAACAGGGAGAATGTCTCATCTCCAAAGGACAGAGTGAAATTATCACGGCTGCAACCTTTTACGAGGCCATAACACCTTTCCACATTACAGCACATGGATTAAAACTGCTCTGATCCTGTTCTGCTTGCACCCACCTGGCTTCTCCCCCAACTTGGCACATTTGACTTTGCAAGAAGCTTTTGTTTAAATTTTACAACCCGTTTAATAGCTGCAATTCCTGAAGAGATCTTTCCAGGAGTACAGTGCACTACCATGAAATAAGACAAGAGGAGACCCCAGAGCTGTCTGCTCCTGCCTGCAGGACTCACATCCACATCCATCCTGCTTTTTTCCCTCCCTATCACAATTCCAGAGGTCCAAGAGGCTTTGCAATGCCTCACTGAGGAGCTGTGGAAATCAAGATGTTCTGTCTGAGGAACAGAACAGCATCCCTGAGGCTCCTTGCAAAGATCCCCAACTGCACAACTCCTGGGCCAGATCAGGGACAGGAGGTCCCTTTTCCACAAAAAGCCTGGAATTTGAACTCTACAACAAAGCAAAGCTGCATTTAATATTCTGCTGGAAAGAGAAAGAAACCACTGAAACACGAAACCTCTTAATTATTTGTGTGTATCTTTGATTAAAGAACTGGGAAGTGATGCAGACAAGCCCAGAACTTTTCTTTCCCACTGTTCCCAGGCACAGGATGCTGCAGGATTCAGGATGACCTTGGTATAAACACGCAGTGACCAGCACTGGACCCAAGGAAGGGTAATTACTGTGCAGCACCTGGCTATCAAACTATTCCAATGAACTGGCACCATTTTATTTCCCCTAATGGTCACAAGAACATTTGTTCCTGAAGGTTTTCAGAATGATCTGGCAGGTAAAGCATCAGACTGGAGCCAAGAGGAGGAGCTCTGTAATGGGTTTTAACTCACCTGCTGTGACCTTCAGATATTGGCTCTCTCTCTTAAAACTTTCTTTTATCAATACTTGATGGTCACTCTGCAGAGTCCAGACTTCCAAGGTGCCCAGCGAGACCTGCCAGCATTCCCAGAACAAGTCAGCAGGAAAAACCAGACTGAGCAGAGGCTTTGGAGTGAAGTGTTTTTACTTTCAGGTGTCATAGTGCCAGACTTATACCTCAAGCTAACAGCAGAATATACAGAGGATTCAATACAGAGAAACTCAAGCACCTGAAAATGATCAGCCAGGACTTGCACAGCCAGAGAATTCTTCTTACAGGGTTTAAACCCTGTGCAGAGGTTTAACAACACACTGAGAAATGCAGTTTGGTCAACAGGAATACAGGTACACAGGTTTAACAATTACTGACACAGGCCAGCAGCTCTCTCCCTTTTCTGTTTCACAAAGGGAAGCCTCTCACTGCATACTATCACCATGGAAAGGGAGCATTCCTGTGCCAGCTGGAATATTTATTTAATAACTTAGCACAGATCTGAGACATGGCCACTTCATGTTTGAATAAGCTCTGAATCCGTGTCAAAAGAGAAACTAAGAGAACTCCAAGAGGTCACTGAAATAATTTAACACAGGGACAAGGAGGACGGGTAAGGTATGGCTAAGAGCTGTACATTCCACCTGAAGCTCAGACTTTTCTCCCAGCACTGCCAGGACACTGCTCCCTCTCCCAGCACTAGCCATTGATGCGGTAATTCACGTGGATCTCGGGTTTGATGTCACACACCAGGGACAGCAGCTGGGACATCACCACCTCCCGGTTCTTCTGGAAGTTCTGCTGGATTACACTCATCTTTTCCTGAGTCTCCTTCTCCACTTCAGTGGTGCAGCTGCCATGGGAGCCAAGGGCCTACAAACAGCAAGGGAAAGAGGAATCACCATGCCAAGCTCTGTATTTTGTTATTCTGGACCATCTCACACATTAATCTTTGTTGAGGGAAGATTAATGCTAATGTTCATACTAAAAAAAATGTACTGCTGCATTTTTTGCTCAGATTTCACCTTAAACTTGTCCATATATTATCCTTAGCCCCTGCCTTTTAGCCTCTTTTATGGAATCATCAAATGGTTTGGAAGGGACCTTAAAGATCATCTTGTTCCAACTCCCTGCCATTTATCCGTTATCCACCAGTTCAGAGCATGAGTTTCTAAGAAGTGCCCAAAATAAAGGTCCTGCTGTACAGACAGCTGGAAGCCCTGGGCACAACTGCACTAGAGGATGCAAGAAAATTAACACCCAGGAGCCACTCATTACAATTCCCATCATCACATTCCTCCTACCCTTGGAGAACCTTTATAAAAATCTCAGCCTTCCCTCCTGGTGACCAGGGATACTCTGCCATGTCAGCACCACAGGAAACAAGCCTGTGACAGCAGCAATGAGCTCAGTCCCTTTTGAACACTGCCACACACAGCAGCTTTAGGGAGGCTGTCACCCCTCAGGGCACCCAGGAGCTCATTAAGCTCTTTTCCTGCCAGCTGAGATGCAACACACCACGTCCTGAGCCACTTCCAGGGGTTTTTCTGGGACACGTGGCTGTGCCTCACAGGAAGGCACTTGGGGAAGTGCTGCTGCTGCAACTCGCTCCACCCTGAGGGTGCTGCCAGGGCAAGGCAGCCCCAGGACAGGGCAAAGGGGCTGGAAACAAGTGAGAGACGGAGAACACCAACCGCTGCCTCCTTGGCCTTGAACTCCTTCTCCCGCTGCAGGCGGTACTGCTCGATCTCTGCCTGGGCCTCCTCCTTGGCCTGCTTCAGCCTCCGGTTCTTCCCTGCTCCCACGGCACAAAGCAAGGCAAACAAAGAGGAACAAGCAGTGAGAGCGTGTTTTCCTCATGCTCAGCCATCACCACAGTGCTGCTCCCTGTGCAGGAGCACACCAAGCCCCCTCCCCGAGTGTGCTGACCTCGGGGGGGCCCAGCAAAGCATGGCCAAGGTCATTGAGCCACGAGCCCCCACCACGGAGCAGTGCAGAGCAGGAGGACACATCAGGCAACAGCCAGGTCTGGCTTATTCACAGCATGAGTCCCAGACTGGTTTGGGCTGAAGGAACCTTAAAGATGATCCCATGCCACCCTTGCCATGGCAGGGACCCCTCCCACTGTCCCAGGCTGCTCCCAGCCCTGTCCAGCCTGGCCTTGGGCACTGCCAGGGATCCAGGGGCAGCCACAGCTGCTCTGGGCATCCTGTGCCAGGGCCTGCCCACCTCACAGGGGAGAATTCCTTCCCAATAGTCCACTTAACTCTACCCTCTGGCACTTTCCATATAAAAAGTCCCTCTCTCTCCTTTTCAAAAACCTCTTTAAGGCCCTGCAAGGGGCTCTGAGCCCTCCCTGAATTCCTTCCCAATATCCCACCTAACTCTACCCTCTGGCACTTTCCATAAAAAATGTCCCTCTCTCTCCTTTTCAAAAGCCTCTTTAAGGCCCAGCAAGGGGCTCTGAGCCCTCCCTGGAGCCTTCTCCTCTCCACATGAACTCTCCCAGCCTGGCTCCAGCTGTGGGAGCAGCTCTGATGCCTCCTCTGGATCTCTGCAGCAGCTCCAGCTCCTCCCTGTGCTGGGCCAGGGCAGCTCTGCAGGTGGGGTCTCACCTGAGCCCAGGGGCACAATCCCCCTGCAGTGCAGCCCAGGATGTGTTTGGCCCTAAAGGCTGTGAATGCACTGCAGGCTCATGTCCAGCCCCTCA